ATATAAATTAATATAAAATAATGTATAATATCTCATTTCATAAAAATGAGTTTTCTCTATTACCCTTGTCTTTCATGGCGTATTACTATACCATAGACGAATTCTGCCTCACCGATGATCTCTATACTAGATCGTTTCTACGCTTATGATGAAGTCAAATTCCATGTTGATAATTGTTTATGGAATTCTTACGTTTGTCCATTTGAATACAAATCGATTTATTGCCAATGAAATTGAAGATGGATCTCTTCTGTACATTACAAAGTTATAAGCTACATATGTGCATATAGTTTCTAATAGTTGATCTCTTCGAAGTGGTTTTAAATATAGAATTTTACTCTATATTCTGTAGCTATTTTTGTCAGTTTGAACGAGTATTCAGCAGTCGATTGCACGAGATTCCAATGCATTGCATAGGACTTCGGGCAGGCTAATGTGTGAAGACCGTCGTAAGCATATGCAAAACATAACAACAAAAGGAAAAGAAAAGAAAAACTGCATATTGCACTTGGCATAGGCCGCTGACGCCTCTTGCCACATGTCGCGCGCGCATGGGGCAACGCAGCTGCAGCACGTATACGCAGAGTGCACATCAGGACACGGCCAGAAGGACTCGGACGAGTCGTGTGTCTCCTTGCAATTTGAATGCAAGCCAAAAACTTGTTGTTTTTAGTGTGCCTGGCTGGCCTTCCGGCCCTTCCGCATGGGCGAAGTTCAGCTAATTGCCGAGCTGCACAATTGTGCATTTCCGTGCATATTTTTGAGCAGCGCAGAGAAGGGCGTGAGGAAGGGGGAGGCACGAGGGAGGTGAGCAGTTGTTGCATATTTAGTTTTAATAGCTTAGGTATTTGTTACCTGTTGCCCGTTTCAATTGCTCATGAAGTTTTTCTTTTGTTGTTGCTGTTGTTGTTGTTGTTTATTATGGGTCACATATTATCATTAGAAAATGGCGTTTTGTCACGCAGCGCAGCTCATGCACATGCAGCCATCTCCCTTGCACTCACGCAGCCGCTGCTACCGCTCTTGTTACCATTGTTGCTCCACATTTGCAACAGTTTTGGAGCGACTGTTGACACACATTTGCAGGCAGGCGGCTGCGAAAGCGGTTTAATTAATTAAACTTGGCGAAATAAAGACATTGATTTTAAAGCAGCCAAAGCAACAGGCAACAATTGGGAGCGAGAGTAAGAAACAGAGTGCGAGTGAGAGGGCGATAGAGAGGCCGTCCACCTGGCGTATGCGCAATAGCAATAGAATTGCTGCTGGCAAAAGCTAGCTGTAATTTGAGCAGCTTCCTTCGCATTTTATTAAGCAATTATCTGCCAGGGGTCCCAGTTAGCTAGCTAGCCCAAGAGACAAGTTGGCCAAGGGGTCAGCTGGCAGCTCTTCGCCAAGGAAATGGTAAAATAATCGCTGCCAACTTATCAAAACACAAAACAGTAATGCAAGCCGACAATCAAATGAAAGACTAGATACAAAATGTATATTAAGTAAGTATATACACTTATATATTACATTCGTACGTCTGCCGCGTCGCTGGCTGTGCCGCACAAGACGGGCGTGTATTATTAAAATCGCATTAGAAGACGCCGCTGCCTCAAAGCACATCAACTGCTGCGGACAGCGCGGACAGTTGGCTCGTATAAACTGATGCACAGACAGACGCAGATTTCAGATTTCAGGGGAAGCATCAGCAACAGCAGAGAAAAAGAAAGCGAGACAGCGACACAGCGCTATTAGCGACAGAGAGAGCGAGAGAGCGGGACAGAGAGTGAGAGACGGCTAAAACAATTAAGCTGCATAAAAGAAATCTCGCTTGACGTAGGGTTATTTAGTCGAATTCATATACTCTTTCAGGTATATTGCTTTTAAGCTAAGCAACACAAAAACACAGCGAAAGAGAGAGTGAGAGACTACCGGAATATAATATTTACAGTTGAATCCGTATACGACTTTGCGACGAAAATTCTGGTCCCCAGTCAAACTTATACGGTTGAAGCTTCTTCCAGGATAACGACGATACCCTAAGCGTCGTTATATCCGGATTCTACTCTATATTTATGCACATATGAATCAAATCATAGCGGAAGAAGGAAATTAGGGTACAGGTCACACAGATGCAATTTAATTATGATACATATTTGTGTTATGAGATTGGTCGCGTCTAAGCCTTTTTCTAATATACCGTACCTTTGGAATTGTATCTCTAATTTTTGGTAACTGAAGATCTCGATTTATATTCCTAATGCTTCAAGGGGCTCCATAGATCTTACTTAGGGTTTTTGCCTGTAAAACTCGCAGTTTTTCGGGTGCCTCTTGGTAGAAGTTCCATACGGTTGGATGTTATAGAAGGGACTAGAAGCTGCCTAAAACTATATGACTACAATCTCGCTTATCTTGTGCTTAAGTGAAGGAAAAACTAGTCGAATATTGCACATCCCTTTCAGAATTACAAGCATCGAAATTTTTTTTAATTTGATCATCTTTTTATCAGTATGCACACTTATTCCTGATTATTCCTAGGCAAAGGCTGTGCAATAGTTTAGCAGAAAATCGTCAGCCAATCAAATGCCTAGCAGCATGCCTATGTTTATAGCTATAGAATGTCTCTCTCACTCACTCTCCGTCTATTGCTATCCTTGTCTGCCGCACTGCAGCTACTGTTGGCAATCTTTATGAGATTATTGATGTGCTGCCGCCGCTGGCTTGACGACAATCGCCACAGCCGCAACGGCGCAGGCAACGAGGCACAACCTCAGATTTATATATATTTATATCTACATATCCATATCCATCTCCATATCCATATGCATATCCATGTCCATCCCATATCCACATCCATATCCTTTGGCGGGCTGTGTTGATGCGTTTTAAATTATGACGCCACTTAGTGCTTATGTCGGCTAATACCAGCTCTGGCAACACACCGGCCGTCTGCCTCATATTGTTTCTGCTCTGCTCTGTAATTAGCAGCAATCGCGCGCATTTGTCTCAACCAACTGCGAGGATGGAGCCAAGCAGGAGTCGTCGCTGCTGCTGCTGCTGGTGCTGCTGCTGCTGGTGCTGCTGCTGTTGTCGCTCCTTATTCTTGCCTCTGTTGCAAATTGATATTTAAATACGCTCATATTAATTACAGTTGCAGTTTCGGTCCGTCTTTCTCTTTATTAATTAACACCGTCCCGTCCCCTCGACGCTAATAAGAGCTCAAGCAAATTTGTCTTCTGAAACGCACACGTTTCACACGATGCTTTTGAGGTTCTAGTAAAATATGCAATATACCATATTATAGTATATAATACTACAATATTATTAGAAATATATCTGTCTTTCGATTCAAAGTCAACGCACTCCATTTTGGCCATGTTTATACAAATGGCATGAGTGGCGCCCATTAGCAGCCTATCAAAGTGATATATAAAACAATAAACCACTTCGCGATGAAGATTACTATCGAAATCTTTTCCGCTCGCTTACAGTTTTGCATTCATATCTTTGCTTTGTTCACACCTATTCCTGAAAACTTTCGTCCCTGTTGCTGCTGGGCCGACAGTCTATTGATAATTACAATGCTCCATTGCTCGATATGAAACCTGCAATCAAGCAAGAACAACAATGAGGAGTCAGCGAGGAAGCAGTGCCCCTTGCCTGAGAGGGGGCGAGCAGGGGCATACATGAGAAAATGGACTATACTTAAATAATTTGGTGAGGTAAAACAAATGCTTGTAGCCAACGTCGGCGTCAGAGTCTGCATTTAGTTGAAACTCATTGATTTAATTGCGCATCATTTCCTGGTTCAGTTTGATGTGGAACTTCTAAGTCCCCTTTCCCGTCTCTATAGCTGTCTTTGCCTCTGTCTCTGGCTGCAATGAAATGAGCCCGCTTAAGCGCTGATTACGTTTTGGCCTTAAGTTAACGCCGCTCTTTCTGACCCTCGATCTTCTCTCTCTCTCTCTCTCGCTCTCTTTGTCTCTCCGTCTGTGGTTCATTCACAGTTTTTGGGTCTACATCTAGACCGCGAAATGATGGATTAATCCATTCAAAAAACCGGCAGCTACTACAATTACGAGACGATTCAGCCCCCAATGCTCTATCTCTCTCTTGCTTTGTGGCTCTCTCTATCGATTTTCTTAAAGTTATCTTTAGCTTGTCAATTTGACAGTCGCGTACTCCCAATCTTTCCCTCAAGCAACATTTAATTCGTAGTTTTGATTTAATTTTTGTTTTGCTCCCTCTTTCAGCATCCATCTTTTGCTCTCTCTCTCTCACTCCCTCTTTGTCTCTCTTTTTCGTCTATTGCGAACAGTTTGACTTTTTCTTTATATTCTGTTGTATTTTCTTGTTCTTGCAGGCTCTAAATGGATTTCTAATGATACTGACATGCGAAGGCGAGGTCTTCTTTGCCACGCACAGCATCGAGAGCTATTTGGGTTTTCATCAGGTAAGTGGACAAGAGCAAAGACGCCTTCTGGGGTGGCTGAGGCATCCAATCTTTTTGATTGATTTTAATTGCCCGAGGCTAGCCGGGAGTTTCTTTGAATGATATCAAGTGCTACTTCTTCTTTTCATTCTTCTTTTTTTGGGTCAAGCTCATTGTAAATTGGTAACAGGTCTCAGCTTAACCGCTCACAGCGCTTAAGTCTGTTCAGTTCCGACCAATAGTTGACGGCAGCACCTCTATAATTATAAAATCAATCCAAACTTGTTAGAATGGCTGCTTGGCTAAAATATTTGCCCCCGGCTAAATTCAAATGTAGTAACAAATTTAAATACATACAGCTCGGGTCATAAAAATAGCAGTAGCTCTATTATATATACACGTAAATAGGCTCTTATATATGTATTTCTTTTTCTATAGGGAATGAAATAGACTGGGAATGCCTAACATTTGGTGAATGTAGATGGAAGATGAAATGATGATGGAAGATCTAGTACCTTATGGAGCAATGAAAAATTTAAAATATTTGCATTCATTTACATATTAAATTGATTACATATCAAATATTTACATCCTATTTCGAGTTATACTACCTACGCTCATCCCTGAAAGCAATTGTCAGAACATCATAGGAGTTTCCTTGAAATGTTCATGAAGAAGTTCGGGAAGAATTTGAATTTCCTGAAGGGTACCTTATCATATACTACTCAATCATTTGGAATACGAAGTCAACTATTTTGTCGAGCAGTGTAGCTTAACGCGATCGACGGCTGTCCAGTTGAAGATAGAGAAGAATAGCTTAGTCTGTTCCCCATCCCTACAAATGCATATAAATACATTGAGGATCCTCGTCGACTGTTGCATACATTTGCTTAAAACTCGTATACCCTGTTGGCGCGTTATCGATGATTCGAGGGTATAATTTTGAAGGTGCCACACAGCAGATGCCACCGATAGCCAGGCGCGGCGGCACGACGGTAAGACTGAACGACGGCGTGTTGCGTGGCAGGTTCCGTGGCCATAAATAAAAATCAGATCAGCGTGAGGATTGCGCAATCGCAAATACCACAAGATTTGCTTACGCAGCTGTCAAAGGCAGCGGGCGAGGGGGACCCTTCGCACAGGGCGTGGCATTGTGTGTTGAGCATTGGTATTATTAACTTGCGACGCCTCTGCAGCTGTGCGACCAACTGCCCCCAAACGGGCCAACATGTTTTGGGCCTAACTCGAGAATCCAGTGGCTGCCACTACCTGCTGCTGCTGCCGCTGCCGCTGCTGCGGCTGCTGCTCCTGCTCCTGCTCTCGCTGCTACTCCTGCTCACCGCGTCTGATTCACCGCAACGCCCCTTTCTGTCCTATTTGTATTATTTTTTGTTTGCCTACTTTATTGTATTGGCGCTTGTCGAATGGAAATTGAAAATTTTCAGTTAGCTTTCTTTGGGCCTAAGGAGAGGGGCCTCTGCCTGCCCTGCCTCGCCTCGCCCCTCGCCCCTTGCCCCTTGCCTTCTTCTGCGCCATCGCATTTTAATTTAGTTGTAAATGTGTAAAGCGGCATTTGACACGCCCCGTTTGGCAGCTCAATTAAAAAACGTAGCTGCCTATTACCATGGCCATTGGCCATCGGATTGCTGCTGCTTCTTCTTGTTCGAGCGCATTCAAGTATATTCCAATTGAGATTGCGGTCAAATCATTTGCTTTGTTGGTTTTACTTGCGCACAGATGTACAGATGTAGAAAGTTTTGGCTCTCAGTTCCTCCAGTTCCTTACTGAAATGTGGGCTATGCGCTAGAGATGGGTGCGTGCCTCTCGTGATTTCTTCTTTTAATAAAATTCAATAAGTGCTTGCAACATCCCCCAAGCTAAAGACAGCTTGGGTCACTGCTAAAAGCAGTTGGCTTAGCTCATGAAAAGGACAGCTTAGTGGTAACTAATGTTAGCTTGGAGCTCAGTTTTATGTTAACTAACAGTTCTGTTATGCCTTCACATTTTGAGGTCTGTTATGCAATTGAGAGTTTATAGGGCACTCAAGCCACTCGGAATCCGAGAGAGAGTAGCTTGACGATGAACTACTTATCACGAATTTGACACGACTTAGCTGCTGCCTGTGCGTGCCTATCGTGCTTATCGTGCTTTTCTTTTTGATAACATGCAATAAGTTCATATCAGGAGACCAACCTTACAGCTTACCACGACCCGTGATCCGAGAAAACCCTAAGCTCTCTGTCTATCTGACCTCACGATGAGCTACGATAGCTTAACACGAGCTCAACACGACTTAGCTCTTTCTCACGCTCTGTCGTGCTTTAAGTACTCACGATACTTAACGACATTCATTGATCATGTGAATATTAAAGCAGAGCTATCATCACTTGACACGACGAAGCTCGTTCTTGTGCTCGTGCTCGAGCTCTTGTTTTGTCGTGCCGATATATGCTCACGCATCGCAGCTCTGGGCGCACAGCTGTCTTCCGATCCTCTTCCCGGCGCGTGCAGAATTTATGTCTCAATTTGTGGCCAACATGGGGCGCATTTTCAATTTGCGCGCATTTTGATTTATACGCCCGAAAAAAGCAAATCAAACCAAGGCAAAGGCCCAAAATTAAACGCGAAAGCGAGAATCAATAACAAAGTTGACTGAACCCAAAGAGACAATAATAATAATAATAATAATAAGAAGAAGAAGAAGCAGTACAAGAAGAAGACGAGATGAGACCAGAGCCTAACCAGCCAAGTTTTCCCATCCTGCTTTCAGTCGGACATTGTGCATCAGTCGGTTTACGAGCTAGTCCACTCGGAGGATCGCGAGGAGCTGCAGCGCCAGCTGCTCTGGAACAGCTTCCTGCCCGCGGACATGTCCAGCATGCAGCTGGCGGAGACTCTGGCGCCGGACAAGGCGCTCTACCTGGAGCGCAGCTTCACTGTGCGCTTCCGCTGCCTCCTGGACAACACGTCCGGCTTCCTGCGCTTGGACATTCGCGGCCGCATCAAGATACTGCACGGCCAGAACCGGAAGACGGAGGAGCCGCCACTGGCGCTGTTCGCCTACTGCACGCCTTTCGGCCCGCCCAGCCTGCTGGAGATACCGCACAAGGAGAACATGTTCAAGTCCAAGCACAAGCTGGACTTCTCGCTGGTGTCCATGGACCAGCGGGGCAAGCACATACTGGGCTATGCGGACGCCGAGCTGGTCAACATGGGCGGCTACGATCTGGTCCACTACGACGACTTGGCCTACGTGGCAAGCGCCCACCAGGAGCGTAAGTAGAGCAGAGGCGCACCAAAGTGCAAGTCCCAATCCTAACCTCATCCCATTGCAATTGCAGTGCTCAAGACCGGCGCCTCGGGCATGATCGCCTATCGCTACCAGAAGAAGGACGGCGAGTGGCAGTGGCTGCAGACCAGCTCGCGGCTGGTCTACAAGAACTCCAAGCCGGACTTTGTGATCTGCACGCATCGCCAGCTGATGGACGAGGAGGGCCACGATCTGCTCGGCAAGCGCACCATGGACTTTAAGGTTAGCTACCTGGACACCGGCCTGGCGTCCACGTACTTCTCCGAAGCGGACCAGCTGGTGGTGCCGCCCACCAGTGCCAGTGTCTCACCCACGGCGCACGCGCTGCCGCCGCCGGTCACGCCCACGCGTCCCAATCGACGCTATAAGACGCAGCTGCGCGACTTCTTGTCCACGTGCCGCAGCAAGCGCAAGCTGCAGCAGCAGCATCAGCAGCAGCAGCTGCAGGCACAGCAGTCGTCGCCGTTGGCTCAGGTGGGCTCGCCCGCTCCGGCGGTGGTGGAGTACCTGCCGGATCCTGCGGCTGCTGTGGCGGCCGCCTACTCCAATCTGAATCCTATGTACACGACGTCGCCATATGCCACCGCCGCGGACAACCTGTACATGGGCAGCTCCATGCCGGCGAATGCCTTCTACCCGGTCAGCGAGAACCTCTTCCATCAGTATCGGCTGCAGGGCGCCGTTGGCGTCGGCGGCTACTACACGGACTATCCGCATACGGGCGCGCCAGCCTCGGCGTACGTGGCCAACGGGTTCCTCTCGTACGACGGCTATGCCATTGCCTCCAAGGCGCAGGACGAGAAGTGGCAGGAGACGGGCAAGTACTACAGTGGCTACAGCAGCGGATACGGCAGTCCGACGTCCACGCCGCAGGTAAGTCCCCCAGGGAGCAGTAACTCTCGACGGCTTGTATCGAACTGAATCTCTTTGAAACCACAGCAGATTCCGCTGAAGACGCCCAAGTCCTCGCCGCAGGTCATGGAGGTTATATCCTGCTCCTCGGACGGTCCCTCGCCTGTGGGCGTTGCCAATGCCACGCCCAACGGCAGCAGCGTTACGCCCAAAGTGGAGCTGTCCGCGACAACGGCCACTGCCGTCAGCCAGGATCCCTACGAGCGCCAGACGGTGCTCATGTGGGGCACCACGCAGTCCAGCGGCGTGCCGCTCAATAGTCGCAGCGCTGTCAATGCCGGCGGCTCGCCTCAGCGCACCACGCCCCTGACCAATGGCCTGAGCTACGCACACAACAACAACAACAACAACGAGCATGAGCCCGTTGGGGCAGCCAAGTGGAATGGCAGCAAGGCCGAGCTGGCGGGCAAGTCGGCCAGCGACGGCACACCCGAGAACTATCAGCTGCAGCACGACGACTCCGGGCTCTACTCGGCCTCCTCGCACACCACATCGCCCCAGCAGCAGCAGCAGCAGCAGCAACAGCAGCAGCCACATTCATCACGTGGCCTCGGCGGCTCCAATGTGAGCAACTCCAGCAATTCCGTAACACATCCAGTCAGTGGCACCGAGCACCCAGCGTTGCAGCCCAGCCATGCTCATCCGCAGCAGCAGCAGCAGCAGCAGCCGCACCCACAGCCGCCCAGCTGTGCAGCTAGCCTCCAGCAACAGCAACAGCAACAGCAGCCGCACAGTCTTCACGCTCATCCACATAGCCAGCAACAGCAGCACCACCATCATCAGCATCAACCACAGCCACAGCCACCACCACAACCACACACCCATCCACATCATCAGCATCACAACGAAAGCCAAGCAGCCGCTGCTGTGCATCATTTGCATCCGCAGGCAACGGCCGGCACCGCCAATGGCAGTGAGGTATGGTCGCCTGCCAGCTATACGCAGTACTCGCAGTATTTAGCTTACCACCACCATCATCATCACCATCCGCACCACCACCACGCAGCGGCTGCGTCCACGCCTGGCGCGGCACATCACCATCTGCACCACCACCACCACCACGGCCAGCACACGGCAAGCCGCTAGAAACTAAAAGACACTAATTCAACTAGAACAGCACCGTAGACGCACCACACCACAAGCCCACTTACCCACACACACACACACGCAAACACATAGACACTTAGTGCACTAGTGAGTGCTACTGTCAGACTAACTAAACCTAAAACGCTACTCCCCCTACTTAGATCCTAATCAGCACCCAACTGCAACAGCATCAACAGCAGCAGCAGCAACAACAGCAGCAGCAACAACAACAACAGCAGCAGCAGCAACTCGTTGGATATACGCTGCACCACCATCCGCTGGAGTCGCCGCCCCACTGTCGCACGCCGCCCACGCTGCCCGCTGTGAGCAGCCTGCTGAGTGGCGGTGCATCAGCGGATGCCTCAGCCTATCAGCAGCTRGCAATTGTCTCCTCTGCAGCAGCAGCAGCAGCGACTGCGGCTCCGCCGCTCATTATTTGCGCAGAGGAATCGCTGCAGGCGCTCAACAGCAGCAGCGGCAGCAACGAGGCGCACATCAGCTCCACTTCAAGCAACTCTGCGCGCACCGCACGTAAGGCTGCCAAGCTGCAGCACCAGCAACAACAGCAACAGCAACATCAGCAGCAGCAGCAGCAACAACAACAACTTCAGCCAAATTATCAGCAGCATCACGCACAGCATCTACTCTATCCGGCCAATATAACTGCACACACGGCGCTGGCCTATGCCCCGCCGCCGGCTGGCGCCTATATCGATGGCAGTCCGCTGCTCTCCTTCTCGGAGGTGACCAACACGTTGCTGAATCAGTAGACAACTGGAAGACCCCAACACACACAGACTCACACACATACCTACACACATATATATATATTTATATATAAACCATGTTCAACAGTTTTGCCAAAATGTGGACTATGACTATCGTATCTTCCATAATCTCAACACAAACACACACACACATACACACCCACACACACATATATATATACGAATATTAAGAGCACAAAGAAATAGCAAACGAGAGAGCAGTTTAGAGCTATAAATTTAACGAGAGCCTTGCTCGAGTGTATTCAAAATGAGCTTCAACCGATACGAGTGCTGAGAGATCTAATAATCGGTAGATCAAGGAGAATCGATAATTTAACTTAGGGGACATTCAGGATAGTCAGAAAACAGAATCACAGCAATCAATGTCCCATTTACCTCAAGTTTTTAATTTTGTTTGCAATTGATTTAACTCTTTCGTCCTTAACAATGTTATCATATGAGATGCATTAATGTCAGACATAAAAATTATAAATATATATAATAAATACATATATATTTTTGTGTTTTTCCAAATCAGGAAAAAATATAAAATTCAACTTAACACAATATCAGCAACAAGGTGAGGAAAGCAGAGCGGGATCAATTTAGAGCTAACAATGATTGCATTTGTAATTTCGATACCGTGAAATGGCATTTGTGAAAAATGGTTTAACATTGATTAAAGAGTTTGTTATAAAATAATAATTAAGAGAAGAATATCCGAAATTTAACGCTTATACCTAAAAAAAATTGATTCCTCATCAATTACTTTCGCATAAAACTAGATTTGTCTATCCCATTAAACTATAACGAAAATCCGAATCCAGAAACAGTCTAGACTAATCCGAATTGAATAAATTTTTTTAACATTGATTCTTTCAATCAAAAAAATATATCCAATAATTGCATAACACCCATTTGATATTCCTTCCATAATGATCTATATCCTATCAGCTCTTAATATCTACTGAATACATTCGACATTCGACAAAGCAAGGCTCGACACAACAGAAAAGAAATCTCAGTGTAATAGTATTATTTCAAATGCAAATATTCCGAACCCATTAAGAAAGGCGTCTCTTTAGTTAATCCTTCGAGCAACACAATATGTAATTCTATTTATTTTACTGTGATAATTTATATAAACCTATGTACATGTAATATTTAACACAAGGCAGGCAATTTGAACCGTATCCGTAATTCCAATTACTTCCGTAACATATCGAACGATGTTATTAGGGCAACAATAGAATACAATTTAAAATTAAAACCTGCACAAAGTATGTATAATTCATCGTCAGTTGTAGTAACAACCAAAGATTTTCATTTGTTATACTAAATACAAATTAATCTAATTGTAGGAAATACACACAAACAAAAAGAAAAAACAAAACAAAAAGAGAAAAAATAACAAAACTGAATTTGGGTTTTCAGATTGTTGCGCCAAATTTTAAGTTTCATATTTTCAGGCATTATAGAAAAGAGCATTAGAAGAAGGAAACAAATTAAAATGAATCACAATTAATTGCTTAAGTAGCCATAAGATTAAACATAATTAAATATTTACATATACATATATATGAAGTGTATGTATATATATATTTATATAAATAATCAAATTACTTATTTTAATAATAATTAATTATTTAAAATTTAACTAGACCTAATGACAAGCAAACTAAATGCAAATTAAGTAATTTTCATGATTCCTATCGTTTAGCATGTAATCCGAAAGCGTGTTGGATATTTTAAATATTTCTTGAACTTCTAGTCGCCCATATAAAACATTTACTATACATACATAAATATAAATATAAATATATGTACTTACATATATATTAATAGCATATAAATATAAATATAAACCATTATTCAAAATACTTTAACTGTACATTTCAATTTGATGAACGTGAGTTAAGGCAACAATAATATTTGGTAATCGAAATTGCATTCCAAAATCTTTATCGAATGAAACATACGAAATAAGTTTAACTCAAACGAGTTTTAACAAATATACAAACATTTTATTTAACAAGACATATTAGAAACCCAATTTCATGTACTCGTAAAATGCATATTCAATCAACCAGAGCGAAATAAATCTAGAAAATATTCAATCGAAAACATAAATGAATGATATTTTAATCCCTCTATGTGAAAAGGTTTTAATCAGGAATATGATCAAATATTGCCTCACTAAGTTTTCTTTTATCCATTCACATAGATAATTTTATATATTTGAATTTGGCGCCAAGGTTCCAGGCCACACTCAATAATAGATATATTTGATTTAGAACTGCCATCCTGCTCAACACTGGAAGCAGTATATTTCGTGCTTAAATGAGTATTTTTCCAAATTTGTATCGATATATCGTGCCAAACTGAGTATTTGATCGGTAGTACTTATCGATTTATCACTTATGTTGGCGGCCACTTTTAAAATGCAACCACTTTACTAAGTTGGCAGCTCTTTTCGAGTGCACTCAGTTTTTTTATTTATTTAATATTTTAAATGTTTTAAAGCACATCACAACATGCATAGGAAGCTTAGGCGGCTGATTTATATGCCTCGAAATTAAGTTTTGCGGGAAATCCAGCCCAGGTGCAGGTTTTTTTCTAACTTTCATGGACAATACAACCGCAAAGCCGCAAGCAACAGCCCGCTTTATGATGAAGCTTAATTGGTGACTTTGCTGCTGCATCAATTGACAACACAAAATGCATTGATTGACACCTAGCAAAGAATTTACTATAAAATATATTATATGGCGTAAACGAGTAATCGCCAACGCAACAAAATGTTGGAGTTGCTTAAAGACTTGTTAATAAAGGTCTCATCAGCTGCGCTGGGCTTCACAATGGCAGCGCACCTAGACTGTAATCATATGTGGGTTAAGATATTGTAGATATTGTTTAGTATTAAATGTTTGCTGTAGTCATTACTCGAAGTACATAATGCGTGTCTTCATGTACACAAATATACGTACGTCCACGGCTCATGTTCAGATGAATGTATGTATCGCAGCTGGAAAGCAGCGCAATTAATCATATACTCTAATTTTATATACAATACATCATTGAAGCCAAAATATTTGTTGGGCATTGAACAGATATTTTCTAGATTGATGGCTTCATTGTTCAAGTGGCAGTTGCCGATGTCGAGTGGAGCCACTTACTTGGGCTATATACAAAAAAATGATGCCTTCTGGGCTCATCTAACAAGCGGAGCAAGTGCTCCTGGCCTCATTGCCAAGTGCTCAAGGTCAAGTAGAGCAGCGATATAAAGAGAAATCCCCAACAATACAATTGGCATAGTCAGAGTTTTGTCATTTCAGAACTGGAATGCGACTCCCATACGATTGCACTCACGAAATTAATTAGCATGAACAGTTCGTCTGTAATCTTTTCATATAGAAATACGCTTCTCATACAACACGCAGACCTACTTGGTATGCACAGGTGATGTGATGACTTTTGTATACCCTTAAACCGTTGTACATATGCCAAAGAGGATATGATAAGCTTGTTAATGTGTGTGTACAAACAGAAGAAGCATTTGCGCTTGCCGAAAATTTAATTTTCATTATTACCCGTCAGAGTTCTTCATAGCAATTTGAAATGTATGATAAACATTAAATTATTCAACAGCTATAGAAGACCCATATACAATATGATACGTAAATATTTATGAACTGGAAATGAAATGTTTTTCATTGCCAGCCTCGTTATAAACTTATTTATTGTAGGTTAGGGCTCATTGCCCACCCATACGTACATGATAAATTATTTTCCGCATTTAGTATATAAGTATTTTCGGCAACTATCATATATTCAGTGTTAATAGGATTTTTATAAATCCGTTAAATAATACAGAAATTGTTAAGTTAGTTTGTGGTCATATTGGATAAACTTTTACAATCACTGTCATCCATCCATATATACATACACCCATATGTACATATGAACATATAATAAT